GGAATGAAGAGCCAGATCCAAAACCTTTCGATTTTTGCGGAAAAGGATCGGAAGCTAAGCATAAACAAAACAAACAAGCTATTCTACAAGTGGATGGTGATGCATTTTGATGAGAGTGACGAGATGCCCCATAAGGCCTTTCGTCGAAAAAAGGTGAACAAGCAGAAACGTGGATGGCACCCTTTCGACCAAAACCATCGGGTTTCCTCAAATGAATGATAACTTAAGGTTGCCATGCAATGCTTTATTATGTGGCTAACGGCGACTTATCTTCATTTTGATAATTTGTAAATATGACGCGCAACACTCATGGGACTGGATCAAGATAAGGTATCCAGGAGGGATGACAAGTAGATGTCAGCAGAAGACATGTCAACAATTCTGCAAAATGAATGCCAGCCAACATTCAATTGAATTACTTAAATAATAGCAAAGTTTTGTTGGGGAGGCCCATTCAAACCAATTCAACGCGCACGTACGCAAGGCAGATGCGCCCAGACGCTCCGATGCGCGGAGTAATGCACGCGGGCTACTACAACGCATGTAAACCAATGACCGTCTTACCAACCACCAGGAATTTGATTAAAAAAGACCTAATCTAATAGACCTAATGTACGTTACCACCCAATTCAAATCCTGTGGGAAAAAGAACTTTTGTTTCTAAGAATTCAACGGTGAAATGAAATACAACGAACAATGAAACCTACTCCCTGTTGGTTTGAAATGGGTGGAAACGTTATTAGCAACGACTTTAGCCGATTAGGTCTATCACTCCAAGAAATAATACGTTTAGAAACAAAAATAATTCATTTTAATATTATTCTATTCATAGCAAAAAACTTTATAAGGAACTCATCAAATTGGACCGCCATTGGTACTCTTTTCCTAATGACCACAAAAACGAATGCCCTTTTTAAGGTAAATTTCACCATTTGAATAACTGGTTTGGTTTTCATAAAGACGTCAAATGCACTTTAACGCATTTGCAATATTAGATTTATACTTTAGTTGTCTTTGTCTCATGACTATACTTTAATTTGTTCACTTTTTAAAATTCTAGTCTTATGTAAGTGACAATAATTATTGAATATTATTATTGAATACACGTTTAATGCATTGCTTGCCCCTAAAATTTTGCAAATGATCGCTTTCAACCATTCCCATGAGATTCAAAAGACATAAGACCGGCGGCCATGTTGGAGGAATGAACAATAGATACTAATGAGCAATCCTTGGTAAAGTTCCTCCAAGATGGCCGCTGTGATGTATAGTGAAAGTGAGGAATTGTGTCCGCCATAAATCTTGTGAGTGGAAAACTATAAAATGGCGAACGCTACCAATTTTTACCTACTCTAGCTATAACAGTGTACATGTGCAGAAGACAATTCAATTTATTTTTGTTTAGCAATCTAGTGGCTTTACGTAAAAAACGCTGTCCAATAAAAACTTTGGCACAGGGTGTTACGTACATCTACTGGCCATATAGCTTAACAGGCTCAGTAAATAATTCGAAATTTGGAATAAACTAAAGATTGTAGTGATGATCATTACTTCAGAGATTTTCCAACTTATTTTAACTTTGGACAAATCAGTTCTAGTCATACTTATAATTTATCTAAAAATTGTCTTTGATGCCATTTTAAGTCTGACCGAAGAARACCGTCACGACAAATTTAAGTCAGGAGAATTTCAATTTATAAATGGCTACCACCTAAATTCTCTATCATAAAGTAGACTCAATTT